CTATTATAGTTCCTCCATAAAGTCCTATTATGATTCCTCCATAAAGATTGATAGAGGTCGACAGAGACGGTGGTGCGTAGCGAGCACATTTCCTAGCTTTTCGAACTCAGTCCACTTTACTCAAATTATCTCAGCACCATCCACAGGAAATTTTTGATTATTGACTGATGGAGGTTGAAGTTTAGCCAACTAAAGTCATTAAGTCCATAAGCTCATTCACTTGTAGTCATGACGACACAACTTTCAGTAAACTAATTCCAACGCTTGGGTAGCATTAGCTCATGTAACCTTACAAGTTTGCGATAGACCTAATGAGCAAACAAATCTGCTGTACAACCTTTTAGTTTCTCTAATCTTCTTCATTTATTCTATAGTGTGTTGCGCTACATGACTCAGTAATAGCTATTAATTCAGCCTCGAAAAGCGGGCGATGCGCAACGCTTTAGTGCGTTTCGGTCGTGCTGGAGGAAGCATGCGAAACGCGTTGGTCAGGTGAGCAAGAACTCCAGATTCAAATATTCACAGTTTTCAAGGCATGCTGACCTGCTCATACTCAGATTTGGCAAAAGATCCTCGACAGCTGATGACGACTATGCGGCAGCGGTAGCACAGGACAAACGCAACGGCGCACCACAACCATTCGGTAAGCAGTGCTCTACTATTTTCCATAACCTTGTTTTCACAGAGTGACAAGAGATGTGACGACAGTGTCTAGTTATTTATGAAACGGACATAAACATCCACAGTGTGAAGTATTAACCTTTGTGGCAACTTCCGCCTTGCCAGTTCATTAAGACAGTATTCTGAGAAGCCAAAACACTGTCCGTCATGTTTACCTAGGATGTTAAACGAACCATTGTTGGTTGTCATGGGATAACGTTGAAGGGTCGAATATGTTTAGTAAGGCAGAAAATAAGCGCGCTTTCAACAGAATCGTTCACTCACGGTGGTACTTGCAACCCATAAGAATAGGGAGCAGGGTCAACCGTCCGTTGGACAAAGTCCAACGCGACGACGTGTGAGAGTAATGCCGAGAGTGAACGTACGCACGGAGACACAGACGGCTCGCGGGTGGCGAGAGTGAATGCCGGCGCGGAGAGCGGTCAACATCGGTCCAACGTCGCTCCAATATCGGTCCAACGTAACGGTTGACCCTGATAGGGAGGAAGTATTCGCCGTTGATCCATTCCTTTGTAGAATGCCCCACGCATTCAATTTCCATTCAGAATCGTAGTGGCATTTTGAATCAGATTCGGTATATACAGTTACTCAAAGGGGCCAGCTAGTGTAAAAGTCAGCGTTTTGATATTCCTGGAAGGTTCTGTGCCAATTACCCCAAGTTACGACAGGTAAGCCCTCCCAGCGGACCCTGCGACTGCGCGGGACTAACGCTAGGGAGAAGAAAAAGACGATAGATAAGCCCTCCCTACTGATAAGTCCTCATGATGTACAAAGCCGGGCTTATCTGTCGTAATTCAGGGTAACCGACCCCAGGCGCGCGCGCGGTAAGCGACTTCTCTTGCCACCACATCTCTTCACCCGCGCGCCCATTCCGCTCGTTTAAAGGAATCTTCCGCGGAAAAAGCTCCGCCTCCATTACCACAGAAAAACGATACCCCTTAGGCCCCTAGCCTCATGAGCATAGCAAAAAGAACGGAACATAAGCGTTAGTTTCGATAATACTAATCCTACACACAAGACAAAATGATCACTCTTTCCGTGGAAGATTCCTTTAAGGTATCGTTTTCTGTGGTAATGAGGGCGGAGCTTTTTCCGTGGAAGATTCCTTTAACTCAATTTTTCATTGCAGTTCGATTCGGGCGATCTGGACATCTAGATCACATTCACGACATTCTATCAACGCTACAAAAGCTGCAGATGGCCAACTATTACTGAACTCACTCTCAAACTTCGATCATGCCGTCATCGCACTTCTCTTGTTTATAATATGTGTATCTCACGTTTGTTCGAAATCATCGAATGAATCTGGCCCGTCTTTGTCACCACCAACAAGACGTTGTCATCGCCTGCGCCTAACAAGCACGCCCGTCATCCAGGTCTTCATCAACAGAAACAACGTAAACCTGTTACTTCAACATCCTTGTCATACTAATGTGCTATTTGGGTTCATATTGTTACATGCTATAACAGATAAAGGTGTTGTTAGTTGCACTTATGTCACATTTGTTGAAAGTTCTGATAATCTGACAAGATAGAGCATCGCTCCCAGAACTGCCACGAGCGTCATCAATCGTTCTGGTCCGGCAGACGCCCTGCTTAGACTTTAAGGGCAACGACATGCATCATCACTATGGCAAAAAGGAAGTGTGAAACTCGACCAATCACTCGAAAACGGGAATTCCTTAGCTAGCCGTCCCCTATTATCTTTGGGATGAACTAGCTCCTGGGCTACCTGGTAACCACTCATTGAAAAGAGCATTACCTGAGCTCTCACTACTACGTCTGCGAATGAATCTTCAAATAGAGCCAACCGTCTGTTGGTCCAAGTACAACGAGATGGGGGAGCGGGGGGGAGGGGAGGGAGAACGGGTGTGTTTCTAACCAAAAAAATCAACCATGTGTTGATAAAGTGGAATGAGTCGAATTTATTTGAGTAGGAGCTTGCGGTTGCGGAAGAGGGGATCGTTTTTGGCGGATTCATGTTTATCCCCCTACCGCTCGACGGCCCTTATCACGGGGAAACGTGGATGGATTAGAAAGGCTCACTCATTGAAAATTACCTCACTTGAATCCTCATTACCACGTCTGCGGACGAAACCCACAACGGGGTCAGACGTCTCTTGCTCGAAGTGCCAACGAGAGTGAGGGGGGACGTATTATATTTAAAGTTTACCAAAGTTAACCATTTAAGGGCTCAGAATCAAATACTATAACAACAACAGCGAGTACCATGATGGTGAGTATAATGGTAGGGGTGATTATGGGGAAGGTCGTACAGTACAGGGACCCGCTCAAGGCGACACCCTCCCAAGGCAGACGATGGGTTCGGAGGTCGTAGAATTTTTGGAAAGTACCAACGCTAGGGTTGACCCTGATCACAAATTACCTGTACTATGATGCTATACTAGGTTTTTCATTCGTGTTTTAAAGGTGTACAAATGAACTAACCTAAGAAAAGCATACAGAACACCTAGTGGAACCTGAATGTTTCATAAGTCTTACTAGAATTATTTATAGACACTTTTAATTCAAAGGCTTATTGCGGTAGAAATAGATCATTGTAAGGCACGACACGACAGTCATAAATCAAAGTACTAGATGGCGAAATCGAACTGTCCTCATAAACAGGACAACATGAGCGACAGAAAAGAGCACATGAACTCCCAGAGGTTTCCGATGAACATTGAGAACAGATTAATTAGATTGAAATTAACCTCACTGGGTCAGCCACGGATTTGCATGGTAAAAGCAGATCATTACATGTTTCTTTATTGGTAAGTAATTCCAATGTTGCAGAAACACATCCGCCGTAACATGTCATTTTACTGATAAATTCTTATACACATTTCAACATGGCATAATTTTTTGATAGAGCATCGGATTTATAGTGACATACTTCGGATTGAGCACAGGCTGAGCATTTGGATAGAGCAGCTTTGATTGGAATCCGAAATGTTCGTATAAATCTCGATTGAACATCCCGATCCTAGAAATTAAGCATAATAGTTGTATGTGGTGACAAATCAGCGCGAATTGTATAATTTGAATAAAAGGCAGAGTTTGCGATTAAAGGCAGCCCACTAGAATCGAATAGAGGTGGTCAACGGGCGCCGAATGAAGGGAAAAGCTATGAAAACAGCCTAGACCCCAAAACTAGAACCCACAGAAGAATAAAAAATAGAACCGCACTAATGCGACTCCCATCAGTGCTGCCCTCTTAAACGCTAAGCTTTCTCTGCTGAATTGCTAGAAACCTGCGGCGAATGGTTAGCCAACTGGTGGGCGTATCGCGTCGTTAGCGCCGCGGGGAGGGTCATGAGGTCACCGGTAGCAGATCCTTCCAGGGAATCGCGGTCGGTCCGCACCCTTAAGAGGTGAACCTGTCTTAACACTGGTAAGTTTCCTCTTCTCACCTCACCTCATCGTGAATCTGCCTGATGACTGAACTTTGAACCCCGGATCAAATGTCTTAATTCTGTTTCCGTTCGAAAATTGACTAGTTTGGTTTTCGGGGATCGGAGCTCTCTGCCTAAGAAACGCAACCTTTTCAGACTATAACTAGTTTAACCTGTTTTTCAAAATTGTCTTCTTATGAAGCAATATTTTTTTTCAAGGAATGGAAAGATTGCTTCCTGAACTGCTGAAAATGTGTGAAAAAAATTCAAAATCCTCTCAGATTAAAACACACTAGGAAATAAAAAAGGAGACGAGCCAGCACCGCAGGGAGTGAGACGGCAAGTAGGCAACGCTGGGTGCTCGCTTGCCCACTGTTGGAAGCCTCTATGCCCTACTTCTTTTCCACGAGATTTTAATCAGCTTATGCCGTATCTCTTCGCCCGGCAAACGTCACAAACTGCCCAGTGATGGCACGGATTGTTCAATGCGAATTCTGATTGTGCTTATTGACGCTGCTCTCCGGATTTTATCAAAAAGTCTAGCAACATAATATTGACATTGATCTCGTTTGTTGCCACCGAATGCGCTTACCAATAGATCTTTGATAAGATCCAAGGTCAATTAAGATAAGAACTCTGCCTAGTAAGAAAGTGCTACTCGACAGCCGTACTCAGGCAAGGTTCCTATGCAATGCGCGCTTACAACGCTAAGTCTGAAAAACACGCAGAGAGAGACTACTCAAAGTGCGACTAAACAGTTAATGATATTCTAACTATCAGCAACTTCTGCCACAGTTTGGAAGTAAGATCAATAAGAAATTGGATTCCGAAGTGCCTTATGCATATTACAAGTACTATATGATCAAAAGCAATCTGCAAGATTTCAAGAGCCAACCTGTTTCCGGTAATTCCATCGAGAAAATTCAAGTATCCCTTGCGGATCGCTTGTGGCTCGATTACTGTTTGCCAAAGAACATAACCAGTCGAAAAGGTGTACAAAATGACATCACCATATGGAATAGAGGGCACGATACCACGTTCTTCCAAAGTATTGTAGACAGCCTTCAAACCTTTGAATTAACATAAATAAGGCATCAAAAAGGAGTTCAATTTTAGGCTCAGTAAAAAATTTGCAGCAAAATCTACGAAGCATGCTCTGAAAACAACTAGTCTGCTGAGCTGGATGCGATGCTGTGCTGACATCGCGATGAGGTTTAATATTGAAGTGTTTATCGAGATTTGAAGTAAGTTAATGGCACTGGCTAGGCAAAGTCATAATATTACAGCATAATACACGAGCATGTATAGCAGCTCAAGTCTTCTAAACACGGTGAAAATCGGTCAACGGTTTGTCGACACCTCGTCGAGGACTTTCGCCTGCTCAGTCACAATCTCTCGCACAGACATTCACTCTCGACACTATTCAGATACAGGATCGATTTTACAGTATGGTTTCTAGGTTCCACCGTAAGCGCGTTCGCGGTGGGGCGCGCAGTGCCACATGTTATCGATTTGTTTTCGTCGTTTTCTCTGCGCCCTCCACGACGAGAGCCACGACGAGAATGTGGTCGTCAACTGTACGGAGCGCCATCGCTGTAGAAAGTGGAGTAAGGAAGAGCACCGGTTATGCAGGTGGGGCACCTGCTTTCCTACGCGGGACCAGGAATCCCTGCAGTGCACGTCTCGTTGTGCCGGCGGCTTCGCTTACGCGACGGGACGCTTGCGCGCAGAGGCGAGCGTCGCGGGAGTTTTGGACGCGGTCGCGGGAAGAGGCGGTATACTGCCCCAGGCTTAACCCTGACCAAAGGGCGAGTGTACGCGTGCGTCGGTCTGATTACACGCTCCAACGATCAGCAGCGCGCCCCAGTGTAACGGGATTCCGGTGGAACCCAGAAAACAATTCTGGTAAATCGCTCGTGTCTATTCTCACACATTACAGGAGCTGGGTGAATAACGGTCCAGCGTTTTCTCGACCATTATTCACCCAGGTTCTACAAGCATTATTTTCCAAGCATTCAAGAACTATCCTCTGGAACCACTGGTTCGAGCATGGGCCAATCGTGAAGGTCAATTAGTAACTATACACAGTTCAAGACTAATCAGCGCGGAATCATGCTAACTACTCTTGGAAAAAGCTCTTTCTCAACGCAAAATTGAGTTCTTGTTAGGACATGTGAGTGACGACAGTAAAGCACGGCATTACCTCATCCATGATCCATTCCAGTGCTAAGTCATTACCAAGGTTCTGGACAGCTTATAAGGTTTTACTTCTGCAGATTCTCTCAACTTACCACTATTATGGTTTAATATCCCACAACTACATTCCCATATTACCTACAACGCTCTCACAATCGTTAAAAAATCTTTTTACATCCTCACTTCGCTAGAGGTTCTATTAAATGCGCAGCCTATGAAAACGGCGCAGTGATGTACCTGATTGTAGCCAATGTCCAGACAATGATAAAATTTTCTCTTAAATGAAAAATTGAGCTGAATAATAGAGAGACTCACTTCGATTCCTTTCCACAATGTATACATAGCTATAGTGGCACTAGGATAAGCAATCATTGAAGCACCGGAAACAATACCAGCAGCAACGCTACTCAACCCCGAGCTACAAAGAGCTGTCCTATTCAGGGAACACCTTGTTACCTAAAAAATACAGAGTATGGTAAACGGAGAGGGAGAGCAGAGAAAAATAACTTTTTGAGAGTGCTTACAACACAAAATTGATCACACGTTGGTATTCATAGCCACACCTGAACATTCATCGGAACCTTCCAGACCACTACGAAATTGCATACGAGCTTCCCAAAAAGAAGTCACAAAAAGACTGCGATCAAGATCCGACTTTCGAGCTCAACATGGACCTCGATTTCTCTACCTGCACACACAGTCCTTCTAAACTTACCCACACTAGGCAGTCAATAGGGAAGTGAGGTAATGAAGCTGCTTTTTTCTTCACCCTGTTCGATTTCAGGGGAATGAACGTTTCTCTGCAAACCGTGCACATGCACTGCTTTCTTGAAAACGGGACTACTACAGTGGCTGGCAGCATCACAGGTAAAATCTAGTCATACGCTAAATGAAGCAGCTCTGTTTACTCTCAGCCCAGATTTCACAAACACCACATCGATCTTCCTGTTGCAACAAACTTCGGCTCATTTCCTAAATAACCAACTGATCCCTCACGGTGAAGAATACGGTATCTCATTTATGGCAACAGCATTTTTTCTAGTTTTTTTTGGATTATTTTTTGTTTTTTGCACAATTTCTTAGTGCAAGGTAATCCTGAGAAAAAAATGAATATCGCATTATCAGAAGAAAAACCAGACTGTTTTCTGGAACGTTTCGTACTCGTTTTTGATGGAAAAGCCAGACTTAAGTATTTCGAAGCGCTCGGCTCGGCACGTGAGCAACTGCGGAAAGTCCATTGCTCCATTCATAGATATCCCATGTCTCCAGACTTTCTACAAGTTTAGTACATTTACAAAAGGTCACGATCGCAAATAGAGAAATCATAACGGCGTTCCAAAAACTAGTTCCTCTTTAAATTAGGTTCACTTGTAGTTAATGCTTTTGCGTCAAAAAAGAACTGGAGCGCTGTGAAAAGGAGCAGAGACATCACCAAGAAAGCAACAACGTGGTATGAGGAGGCACGATTCAAACTCAGAGTTGAACTTTGAATAGATTGAACAATGGTAGTTTGCGCCACCTTGCACCATACAGCTAAATAAATTCATTGAATGGTATTTTTCAAATTTTTCAATCAAAGACGTAGAATTTATATTTGAATATAAGCACTTTTGGTGTGACTCGCGAATGTGGTCAGCTTTTGAAGGCTCGCAGTTTCACTGGTGAAGGTGTGCAATGGAATTGCATTCTGTAATGTTGAGATCTATTCCCGTGAACTGCTTAAAGGACGAATTCACGATGAAAAAGCAACCCATTTCAAATTAACCTAGGGATGGTGAGTGGTACACGAAAGAAGGAAGAACCATGAGAAACGGCCCAGAACCCGAGAAATGGGACCCCTTCCTTGCCCGTTGATTTGAGCATTGATGCGACTCTCATCGCTGTGCCCTCTTCAACACTACGCTCTCTCAGCTATCTAATCACTCGCCACGTATTGAACTACGGCGAGTGATCAGATGATCGGTGGGCGGAGATCGCCGGACCCGCCAGCTTTGAGGCATGATAGGTCGCCGAGGTCAAATTTTTCCATGCGAATTGCGCGTCAGTTCGCACCCTCAGGAGGTCCGTGGGTCCCTCAACTAGGTCAGTTTCCCTTTCTTCGACCTTCATTCTAATCGTGAATTCCTCCTTTAAGGCAAAAGTCGGGCTCAATAAGGGGTATTATGGCGATTGAAACTGAGTATAGAGAAATGGAACGACAGTGGAGAAAAAAACGAAAAGAAACCGTCGACAAGGCCGAAACGAAACCCCTTTCCCACTAGCAGTGAAGGAGGCTTGCTTGGGGAAGAGCCACGTCCAAACGAGTTTTCCGGATATGCCAGCCGTTCCATCGGTTGATACGGCAATCAACCTAGCTGATTTCACACGTTATGCCAGCCACGCACCACATCCCGCGGTGGGCGGGACCAGCTGATGAAACGAAGCCCATCGCTGTAAGTAGTAGGCCAGAGGCCTTGACGGCGCGCAATCTCGAGTCAGGAGTGTGGCATCACCCCTCTGAGCGCAGTTCCTGTGATGGAAAGGCCTTCTATGACCGCCTAATCCTGACTCGTGGCTTTAATGGACTCTAAGGATTATCATGAAACCTTGGAAAGACATGTGATTCCTTTGTTAGCCTACGATGTCGCCTAAACTACGCATTCTTACAGAACAATCATGGTGTCCATGTAGGTTACTCAATGAAAGATTGGCACACTCCAAAGCCCAGATGTTCTGGAAATGTTAGTCTATAGGCTCGGCTGCATTCGATGGAGAATTTCAGGGGCATCTTTGTGAGCAGTGTCATGCGAATATTTGAAAAAAGGCCTGAACAAGCAACTTTGAAGAGCGAAAGTAGTCGATCGCTAACTGCCTCAAAATCGTGATTTTTAGTAGGCGTGGAGGCTATCTGATGTTGAATTAAAAAAGGGAGAAAAATATGGATTATCAACTCTTTGACGTCCACCAATGGAATGGAATTTAATGAAGTAGTGGACAAAAAATTGTTTCTATTTGTCAAGGGCGTTCCAGGAATAGCCTGCTATGGAACTTCTATCTACGCTATCACTCTGTGTGACTTAAATGCCCTTCCACTCCCATGACCAGAGAGATCCTTTTTTGATCCTCTTCCCCAATTACATGAATTCTAATGTGAAAAACCAATAATCAGTGATTTAACTCACATGAAACATGAAAGGCAAAAGTCCAAAGAAGACCGGTATCCGCAAGTTATCATGAGATAGAAACAGTTTTAGCATCACTGGTGGATTTGAGGCTATCTTCCTAAGATTCTTCAACAAAGTCAGAAGCGCACTAACAGCTGCCCCAATCGAGAAGTTCCTGATGAAACTCTGAAAGAAATATGTGATGTGAGGTAGTATATAGGCAGCAATGTTACTACCAGACGAGTGATCCATAGTGGAAGAAAAGGTGCACACCTCAGTAGCTGCACTAGCACAAGAATGCTTATGTTCACAACGAGCAGCTCTGCCGAAATCGTGTCGCAGTTTGCTGAGTAAAGCATGAAAATCGTCTGGTAACTTCTTCAGATCCAAAACGTCTTCGTTTGGCGTTGTGCAAAGACAGGAGCTGAAAACCATTATAAAGGATAAAAAGGATAAAGCATTTGCCGTTGATCAATCCCTTTTTGGGATGCGGCACGCATTCTACTTCCATTTGTACATTCGTAGTGGCGTTTGAATGCGATGTGGCCTATACAATGACTTGCGGGGGCCAGCCGATGTACAAGTCAGTGTTTTTATCCTCCCAGACAAGTCTGGTACCAATTAACCGACCCCGGAGGGATGGAAGGCTTGGTTGGCCCGGGCGACTCACGACCCAGGATTTGATCCCCGGACCGCTCGCGTGGTAAGCGCGCCACTTGCCACTACACCACTTCCGCCCCCATGGGCATAGCTGTGAAAATTTGACTATAGGCGCATGTCGAAAAGCGCTCATATTTTCAGTAATGATGACCTTCTGGGAGGGAAGGGGCTGTAGGCGGATGTGACCAGCATATAAACCGAGTCAATCTGTTCTAGAGAAGCTGGAAACACCGAAAAGCATCGCCGTAGCAAATTGTGCTTTGCCAGAGAGCGCATCATCGTCACAGTGAGAATGGCATAGATGCAAGTAATGATGAAACCAAATGCGCTACAGCTACACCCTTCAGTTCGGTTTTGACACGATGAGGATCACGCTGATTGGTCCACATAAGTCAACGTGTACACATGATTCCATTCACTGGGTCGACGATTCGAAAATGGAGAATAGTTCATGGCGCACTTCAAAACGAGAACCATCATTGCCGAGTGCTTCAGCTGCTGCTCACCACATGTGAAAAATACTTTCCAAGAGCACCTTGTTCCAGTTTGCTGGCTTATCTATGTAAAATGGTGCGAACGATTCTACCATGGAAGGCAATAGACAATTTCCCATTACATCGCTAAGAAACTTGCTCCTGCTTTCAAGGCTCACAGCGTATTTTCGACACCTGTGAATTAGCTATTATCTTTGTATACCTTCTTGGGGCCTTCTGACGACTATGTGCTTCGTGACAAGGGCTATGGCAACACTTTCTACAGCTCTCTGCTTACCTATAGAAAATTCACCATTGCTCCGCGCTGGGATGATCCCTACGATTACCATCGCTCCCTTCCCAATAAATTAAGTAGGACCCCCTTCAACGCGAAGCGCGGCACACGCTTCCAAAGGCGGCGTTTATGATTAGGAGGCAGCTTAATAGAATTACGGTAAAGGCAGTCAGTGGTGCCTATGAAGAATAAAACATGAGAAGGATCCAAAACAAGAGAAATGGGACACCTTCCTTACCCACTGGTGCGACTCTCATCGATGCTGCCCTCTTCAATGCTAAAGCTCTCTGCCAAACGTTTAGAGAACTGTGGCGTGGTTAGCCAGTCGGTGGGCGTGCCGCGTCGATAGCGCCGCGGGGACGGCCATGCTAGGTCGTTGGGGGCATATCTTCATTGCTTATTGCGTGTCGGTCCGCACCCTCAGGGGTCCGCCTGTATTTCCACTAGGTAAACTCCCTTCTTCACTTCTTCACCCTTCGACCCCATCGTGCATTCCGCCTTTAGAAATGAGTGTCTGCAAAGGCGACCGACTGCTGCAGCCTACACCTACCGACAGGTCCTTAACTTCAGACAGTATGAGTATCCCTAAAAGTAAGGCGTAATGGACGTGAATATCACGCGGGTTTTCAAAGAGATGTGCTTCTACCTGACGCAAATATCTGTTCGTTTCAGCTTACTTTTACTTCACTCCATCTCGGAAATTAAATACAAGAAAATTGGCAGAATGTAATTTTAACAGTACCGTCGTTGTCAAGATCATACTAATGGCACTATCACCGTTCAGTTATGCATAGCTTTAACGCTTGAAAAAGAATGCATAGGTGCGAAGTGCGCAGCCAGTGCAAAAAAAGGAAAAGAAACCTTCTGAAAGGTGAAAATAAGGGTCTCCTTTTTTAGTGGGGTTCATTCCGATGGAACGAGCTGCCGCGAACAGCGTTGACGCCTAGGCAAGAGAACTTAGCAGATGAGCGAGACGCATGCAAGCAATGATGGATTCACATGGTTGGGCTTCAGTAGCTCAACTGAAGGGATAGAGCTCGAGGCGCAGCGTAAGACCACTTCGCCCTTGCCGTACGAGTCGTGGAAGTAGCACCTGTGCATCTTTGCAAGATGCTGTTTCAAACATCCACCTGGTGAAATTTACGTTCAAAGAACGGACCACGTGAGCAGTAGGAGGCACATTTGCTACTATTTCATCATCTCTCAAGTTTAATTTCTAATTTATCAGGGAAAGATGGTTGGTCGAAGTGGTCACTTGAAATGAGATGCATATGACCTGAGAAATCTCTGGACGCGCACCTCATCCTACTTACTATAAAGCGCTCCGTCTGTCGTGTGTCGTGTG